TTATAACTGGTCCTTACACACACCCACACCCATACGTGCCCTGTGCGTGTGACGTCAACAAATGGAGCTGGAACGAAATGAAACGTTTTAATTAGACAAAAGAGCAAGGCAACTATTTATTTCCATTTCTGCTTCGACTGTTTACTGTCCACAGCCCGCAGCGAAGCTGCAGATACAGATACGACTGCTGGCACGGATACAGATACAAATACGGAATACTTAGCAACTATTCCCGAACAACCCACTCTTTCAGCTTACGGCCTGCACCAGATGATAAACCTCCTTGGCCAGCAGAGATGCAATGTTGCCCCCTTACCATTCTTTTTATCGAAAATCCCCAAAGCTTTTCTTACACAGGTAAAAAGTATGTGGTAGTTAAACTTTTAATTGTTAAATATTTTTTAAGTTGAGAAATTAACTTTAAAATGTATTTTTCAGGTTTAAAGCCAATTAAAAACAAAAAATTAAATTCTAAAAAAATGTGTTACATTAAAAAATTATGGTACATATTTATTTACCCTAACTTATTGTAAACTAATTCTTATTGTCTATTAGATGTTTTTTTAAAAGCCTTTGTGTCTCTACATAACTCAAAATTAATGTTATAACATAATTAAATATTAAAAAAAATAAACCTGTATAGTTTTTTCCCAGTGCATTTCTGCGGTGAGTGTTGAGACCCACTTGGATTCCGATAAGCGAGCATTTTCCGCAGCATGCTTGCGAGGGCAAACATTGGCAATGGCCAAAGAATTGCTGGGAAATTGCTCATTCGCCGGGTGTGCGGGGTAGACAATACCGAGATCCGGAGATTCCTCGCCACTGCAGATTTATGCATACCAGTCGCAGTAGTTGGCTACCAGATTAGAGACATTCCATTGCTCCCTGCACCTAAAAGTATGCTGTGCTGTGCGAATCCCTCGTATTTGCAGTTTCCGTTTTAAGTTTTCCCCCAGAATTGCATTCCACCTCTTTTTGGGTGTTTGTCTTTTTCTTCATTTTCCGGCTGCTGCTGTTGCTGCTGCTAACTGCATTTCGCTTAAGTTAAAAGGAAAATCGCAAGTCAAACATGTCGAGTGGCAGAATGTGTGTGCGAGTGTGTTCGAGTGTGCCAGCCAGCAATCTGAACTTTTCAATGGTCGATTGCCAGCTGGTTTTCCCCGGATTTTCCCCAGCTTTCCCAGCCTGCCCTCCCGACAGCTCAATTAATGGACGGCAGGCAATGAAAATTCTCCAGAAGTTGACAGAAATCGTTTTCGGGCCTTCCGCTTTTGCATTTTGGGGGAAAAAGTTGGGGGAGCGGAGGGAAAATCGAGACTAAAGCGAAACTTTTCTTCATTTCCCAGAATCATCTACACATGAATCTTGGCAAGGCATTTTCCTGGGTTTTATTTTCCCTCTAGGTCAGCGAGAGTCAACGACACTTGGCAAACGACGGCGCATTCAAAGAAAACTCGAACGAGAGGATCGCGGGAAAGGAGGACTACACAAAGAACAAAATATTTAAAATCGCCAATCAATTCAATATTTATTTATACAAAGTATACAATGAAGTGGAAGGGGAGATCATCTTGTTTTCTTGCATATTTATAAAGTGATATTAAAAACAGTGGGAGGGGTCAAAACATAAACTTTATTCTGTTGTAAATATTTCCTTTTGATTTGTTAAGATTTTTAGATAATAAAAAAATATATTGAAAACATAAAATATTTTCGAAAGGAGTAAATAGCAATTTTTGTAACGGAATACATTTCAGAAAACCTTAAAATCTTAAACCAGAAAATGTGAAATTTTTTCTCTGACCTAAAGGGCATATATTATAATTATTATAATAACAAACCTTCGATGGCAGCAATGTCCTTTTCTCACTGTGTTAAATACAGGCAACGTTAGCTTGTTGGCTTATAATAAAAAGTACTTCATTTACTTTGTGCAATTTACAACTGTGAAATAAACAGGGAAGCACCAAGGCCAAGGAGCTCTGAAAAGTGGCTGCGGAGAAGGGGATGGGAGATGAGGGGATGGTGGAAAAGTACCTATATATAAGCCCGGAAAAAAAGGAAGTGCGGTCACGCCTCGGTTGCACATGTCACCCCTTTGTATCTGTATTTTTGTATCTGGTAGCTTTGTATCTTCGCTGTCGCCGCTTTGTTTTATTACCAGTTCGCCTCCTTTCAGAGCAGTTCATCTCCATCCAGTTTGCTTTTCCTCGCCTCTGTTTGCCCTATAATTTATTTATGCATGTATTTTATTAAAGATTTCCATGGCGTCGTTTTCGTTCCCGTTCGCATTCCCATTCTCGTTGTCGTTATCGCCGCTGTCGTCATACCAGGCCATCCCCAGTCAGTTGTTGACAAAGAAATTACTTATTAATCATATTTGAGCGCTGATTTCTCGACGCCAAAAGGATCACGAGCAGCTGTGATGGGATATATTTATGCCTGCATCAACAGATGGCGACAAAGTTATAGCCCTGATAAATAAATTACAATTTTAAGCCCAATTTAAAAAAAATTTTAAAATTGTATAATATACAAGTGGAAAATAAAAAACTAAGATATATATATTTTAAAATAAATACTTTTTCAGAAATATATGAACAAGTAAAGTAATGTATTTTTTAAATCCAATTTTTTGTTTAAGTGAGTAAATAGTATAAATATTTTAAATGTTATTTATTTTTGAGTCTATTATTTTGAAATTTTCTTTTATTTAGTTTGTTTAACTAATCACAATATATATCTTATATCTTAAAATAAAAATAAATACATATTTTGGTATTCCCTTAAAAGCTGCTCCTATATTCCTAGCCTCTGCTGTATGTGTGTGGGTGTTTGAGTGGCTTCGGATGTCTGTTATCTCATGTTATCCTTTGGCTTTCCCTGCTGTGGCTTGTCTGTCATCAGTGTGGTTTTCCACATGCAAAACACACACGAATGCAGAGCAGGACCACCGCGAGGGGAATACGAAAGAAGTCTCTATTCATTACCCTGCATCCATCCAAGCAACCCAGCCACCAACTCCACCCCGTCCTATTCCTATTCCACATAATTGCATTTGCTCATCAGAGACACACATCCATTGGATGTATCTATATACAGGCATTTGTCCCGCATCATGTCGCTGCGTTTGCCGAGCTGAAAAGACATTTTCGAGAATTAATTTTAGAATATTCCGTCTTGCGTGCGTCTTGGCGCTTTGTTTACACAGCGGATTTTGATTTTGGGGGCAAAATAGAGAGGGGAGGGGGGTTCGTTCGAAAAACACTTGTCTTTCATATATCTTGTGCAGTCCGCGATGCGATACAGGAAGTCCGCACATCGCTGTCAAAACTAAAGCCCCCGAAATGCCAGCAATTGAAAGCGTTCGCTAATCAAAAAATCTAAATCGGAATCAGCACAAAAAAATCAAGAGATCCGAAATCAAAAATGAAAAATCGGACAGAAACAGAAGGCAGAACAGAAGGTGAAATCACTTGAGATGGACATCTTCCGACAGATGCCCCTGCCACAGGGCACCCTGTACGGTCGCCACTGGCTGTGATGCACTGCCTCCACTCAGCTGTCAGACGCCGACGCCGGCCAGGCCAAAGGAAAAATCTGAAGAAAAAAAAATGGAAGGAAAAGGAAAGGAAAAGGGGAAAAAGAAAAGCGCATGAAAAAGGAAAAGACAGCGCCAAATGCCGCCCGGCCAAATGGCCAGCCGGATCGGCCCAATATATTCCGCCCGATTCAGAGTTGTTTGCGCACATAGGGTATCGATGGGAAGACAGGGTTTATTGGGCAAGAGGTGGAGAATAATAAATAGTTAATAAATAGATAATAAATAATAAAAAATAAATATTGATTTCCTTGCAGAAAACTGACTCATATAATAAAATATATATTAAAAATTCAATTTTGAAAAAATAAAGATATTTAAAAATATTATAAAAAGATCAGAAAACCTAGAAAAAAATTAGAATCCTTAAATTCTGTCTTAAAAATGTATTTTTAAATTTAAAAAAAAAAGGAGAGTTAAAAATCATTTGCGTACCATGGTCAACCAGTCGAATACTTAATAAATTGATAAAAAGGATAAATATTTATTCGTACTCTTTCATTATTAGATCACTCTAGTTTCTTCGGTACCTTCAGGTCTATAGTTTTTATTAGTTTCCCCTATCATCCATCTCTTTTTTCTGGCTATTGTTAAATCCACCCAAAATAGCTCCACGCACATTGACAAGGAGAGTGCGTGGGTCTTTGATGGGGAGTATGGGAAGTATGGGGAGTACGGAGTATATGAGATAGCGAATGAGGGGTGGTGGCAGTAGTGGTAGAGTTTCACATTTTGACGGGCCTCAGACGTCCGGCAGCCGCACTAATTGCACTCGCTTGGCCTAACGGAGAAATTGCAACAGGCGGACAATTAGCGAGCGAACTCATTCGCATTCATATTTCACATTCGCTCAAAGAAAGAACAACAGCACGGGGAAACTGTTCACGGAGAAAAATAAGGCTTTAATAATGAAAATACAATCATATTATATAGATCCCGAAATAAAATATCACCTCAGATATATAAAAAATATTTTTCCGATAATAATACTTTAAAAAAAAAATTTAAGTACATACTATACATATACCAAAGAACTCTAAAATTCTCAGGATTTTGTGTCCTATTTAGGTAATATTTTTTCCCCGTGTAGGGACAGACAGAGTCGAAAAAACGGAAAGCAACAAAAGTTTTGAAACGCGGCGAAGATCAACATTCAAAATTGAGCAGACGTCAGCGCGGCAGAAGATCGGCAGAGAAGAGCGAGTGAGAGTGAAGAGAGAGTGTGGAGAATTGCTGGCGCTCTCTCTTGAGAGATGGGCGGTCGCTAGCTGTCTCACTTGCACTGGCAGCTCCCCCATTTGGGGGCTTCTGCCCCACTCGACCCTCCGGGACTCAGGCCATCTCGCTCTGCTCTCCGGCGTCGGTTCCGGTGGCAGCCAGAACAGAAGAATTCTAACTAGAAGAATTAGAAGAAGCTAAGACAGAGGCAGCAAGTAGAAGACCCGTGATCGTGTAATTCGCCTCGTGTGCGTTCCGTTATTCCGTAATTATTCCGGATTTGTTTGCGAAACAGATTGAAGTTATAGCTACATCCCATTCAATTTGTTTCGCTTTCTCCGCGTTTTTTGTCATCACGACTCTACGTTGTTCCGTTGTCCCATTGTTCCGTTCTTCCGTAGACCCCATTGTTCCGTAATTCCCATCCGAGAATACTCGTTCTCCGTTGTTGTCGCGCCTTTCGTCGCCGCTGGTCGACGTTTCGCTTTTACAGTTCGAAAATCACGGACTTCCCGAGAGGATCGAAGGCTCTAGCCCTGCGTAAAACCCAAAGGATCTATAAGACCACAGAAACCCAACCGTTATCAAGCCCAAAACAAGTTACCAAAACAGCCAGCGCGCCGTGAAATTCCACTTGTTTATATAATAATCTGCGGCTGCCAAGAGCCCAACGGAATATACAAAAAAAATATTCATTTTTCTAGCTCTGGTCGTTTATATTTTTTCAGGCAAAAAGCGAGAAAGAAAAACCAAGCATTTCTGCGTGTTATGTGTTATTGTTGTGATCAGTGATCAGTGGAACGAAACCAAGTGAAAGTGAACACAAGAACGAAAGGAAAGTACAAGTGAAGCAACTCGAGTCCTATCCTCCAAAAAGAAAAGGGATATAAATCAGAGATAATGTCGGACATTGAGGATGTTTTCGGTGGCTCCGCCGAGGAGGCCAAGCCCGAACCCGATGCCCAAAGCAAAAGCAGCGTGGTCACCGAGCAAACCGAGGAGGTGATTCCCGGCGAGACCGAGAAAATGGTTACAGAAACCATCGATGAGGATGGTGATGTTGTGGAGGAGACCACCGAAGTTACCCGCAAAACGGTGAAGCGCACCATGAAGATCACTGAGGTGAGTTTATCTGTTTATCTTTAATCTATTAATATTTTAGGTGGTAGAAACCAACCATTCTATTAAGAAAGAAAAAATAAAACTAGGAACTTTAAAAGATCTTATTTATAATGAACATTTTTTATGTTGTGTTATGCTACCAAATTCTTTAAAAAATTATGTTTACAATAATAGTTGTGTATTGGGATTTTTTATTAAGCTCTGTTATATTTTTGCTTGACATTATTTTTCGAATTATAATTCCAAATTTACAGATATTATTTATTCTAAATTTGGAAAGAATTCAATTAGCCATAACAGCACTTGGGAAATTTCTATTGGGAACTATTTCCAAAAGCCTTAAGTTAAGTGGATATTCACAATCATTCTAAAGAATATTTCATCAAAATTTATAGAAGAACATGGAAATTTTTATAAAATTGTTTTGCGTTTCGAGTGTTGTTTACGCAGTTTTTCCATTGGAATAAACCGCAAAACAATAAATTTAAGTATAAAGATAAATATGTTAATTAATTTCGCAGAAAACGATTCCATTCATGAGAAATACACTTCATATTTGTGAGAAACTAAAAATATTACAAGACTTCCGACCTTCTTCATAAATGTTTAATATGGCCAAAATACGATTTCCTTCTCTTATGAAACACTATAAATCATTATTCACAATTTCTGAAGGGATCTTCGGCCATACTGATCTCTTCGCTTGTGAAATTGGCCAAAAACATGGCGAACTCTGGCTATATTATTTATACCAAATGCCATTTCTCTATGTGCGTCTTAACAAATTGTTTATACGGTCCCACGAATATTATAAATCTTCCCCTACATTATACATCACACACACTGACACACAAATCGGCGGACATATAGGCTGTTATATATAATGTATGCATATGTATATATCACTCTCTGGGTCGGCCACACTTTCTATAGGCGACGTCGTCGAAGAAAAGCCAACAAAAAATAGGGGAAAACAAATTTTGCAGCTGTTTGATTTCGGCGCAAATTATCACAAAAGATTTCAAACAGCAAGGCGTATAAAAAATACAAAAAGAAAAGAATTAAATTATTATTAAGCAGAAATCACTTAAATACTCGATGCTGAACGATGCCAGAAAAAATCCCCAAAGCCCCGAAAAAAATGGCAAAAAAATTAAATGCAATAAATTCTGTGCCGCCAACAAATGCAGAAAGCAAAAAACAAATATCAGAAAAAACAGCACAAAAATATTGAGGTTTCCGTGTCTTGCGGTCTGGCGCGCACTGAAGAAAATTGTGTGCAGCAAGTGGTGGGGCAGCAATTAATTGCCACAAATCGTTGCACAAAATTACAAATTGCATTTCCGGCTTGGCGCGGCAGCCACGCATTTTCCTCCCCTTAACCCCCCTGAGCAACCCACGGAAAATCTTCGATTTTTCCCGCTGCTGTTTTACGACTGTCTGGTTCCCATATCCAAACAGAAAACAAAAAAAAAACCCCTCCCGCTTTTCTTTCGTCGAGTTTTATGGCAGCCAAATTAAATTTGCATTGCAATTTGCTTGATTTTTTTTTTTGGGTCGGTCTTTTGGCCTTTTTCTCGTTTTTATGGGCCCGAAATGGAAATGAAAACGCATGAGCTCTGTAAGCCAGAGTCCTGTGGATAAGGATGTGCCGTTTCCCGGGCATATGTTCGTATATGTAGCTTTATATATAGAATCCGCCCCGAGCAGCTTACCGAACTAATTGCACTGGGTCCTTTGCTAAAACTCATGAACTGCTGAACTTTCCACTCTCACTTTCGCCCACCATCGACTTGCTGGGCAGAAAACCCGGCTAATGAGTCACGTAGCCTTTTTGTCATTTTTATGCGCTTAACAGGTCAAAGTTCCAGCCGCAGGGATACGTGACCCAAGTCGAGTTCGAGTTCGAATTGAAAATGCAAAATTAGTTAAATAAAGTCGGAGATATGCTGCGGGGCTTTTCCACTCCCCCTTGTTATTATCCTTAATTTTAGGCAACCGGAAAACTGTCATAAATTTCACAGTTGATTTCACCGTTGTCCGTTTGTTTGCCGATTTGATTCGCTCATTACACGGCTGTTATTTGTGCGGTACAGGGTATAATTTATAATTCAAGGTGTATTTATAAATATTTATACCTTCCGATTTGGATAAATTTGGAAACATTTAATTTCTTTAAAGCATAAACTAGCACTAATAGCAAATAATAATATTTGTTAAATCATAATATTTATTAAATATATATTTTTTTTAGGTAGGTATTGTTTTGTGTAATTTATTATTCCTTAGTACTTAATAAGGCTTATCCAAATGATTTTATAATGTCAATTTTCGATTATTTAAAATTAAATAATAGTAAACAGAATTTAATTTATACATTTTTCAAAATATGTGGGTATAAAAACTCCAGGATATACACTTAAATGTATTTATTTAGACTCGTGGTAGTTCTTCATGTGCGTCTTGAGGCTGAAGCGCTCGGTAAAGGACTTGTGGCACACGGAACAATAGTGCCTGGGCCGGTTCTCCTTGTGGATTTTCGTGTGATGGTTGAAGATCCTGCGCGTCTTGAAGGACACATTGCAGATGCTGCAGATGATCGGATTCTCCTCGGCCTCGTGCCGCTGCCGATGGTTGTAGAGCAGATTGTCCTGCGAGAACCGCATGCCGCACTTCTCGCACTGATACTTCTTCTTGTCCCAGTGCATCCGCATGTGGCGCAGCGTGTTCGGCGGCCGCGAGAAGCTCTTGGAGCAGTAGCGGCACTGCAACTCCGTCTTGCCCTCGTGCAGGTTCATGTGCAGTTCCAAGTGCTCCTCATCGCGCCGGTTTACGCCGCAGATGGGGCAGATGTGATTCGGCTGCTCGGAGTGCTGCTTGACCCGCTTCTTCATCGACTTGTCCTCGGAGTCGCCAACCTCCACCTGCGAGGAGTCGCAGATAAACTCCTCCTCCTCCTCATCCTCGGTCAGGTACTCCCTTTTGATGACTATATCGGAATACTGATCCTTGAACAGCTCCGACTCGGCGGGGATTTCCACCGCCTTCACTAGTATTTCGGACATTAGAGCGCCCTTTAGCTGACTTGCGAGCCTTTTCTGGGCGGTCATCAGGTTGACCATGATGGTGTCGTACTCGGATAGCTTCTGGAAGCACCGCGGACACAGCCGGGCACTGGGCTTCAGGTCCAGTGGCCTCCGGATGCATTTGGCCAGGTGGGTCAGCACCAGCGAGACGCTCTTCTGCGAGGAGGGCACCTTGGCCGACAGCTTCTCGTAGCCACCATCTTCGCTCAGCTCGTCGGCGCCGCAAAAGAAGCACGTGTTCATTGTGTATAAATTTAAGAGTCGGAAAAAGTGAATGAATATCTGAGATCGGAGGCTCCACTAAGCCGCGTGAATATCGGTTAAAAAAAATCAGTTGGCAGCGCGCTATTGGTGTATAAAACTAGTTGGCAGCTCCCCATTTTAGGCCGTCGGCTGGATCTCTGGAAATGGAACAGGGCGGAAAAATAAAAATTGAAATATTTTTATAATTATTAAATGTTCGACTATAATGTAAAATTTACAGGCAAACTTCAATATAGCTACTTGGCCTTACGCTAAAAAATTCAATTCTTCATCCTTTTACTACAAAGTTACAAGCTAAATGAAACTATTAATTGGGTAACAAAAAATTTTTATACATTTTTACATTCTTTCAATTATTAATTACAAGCTTGATCTAAATTTCATTGCTGTGTATAAGAAAGTTAAAGGGCATTCTATTAACTGTAAAACGAGTCTTTGATGGCCTAAATTGGGTTATCAGAACTCAAGTTAGAAAATAAAAAAGAAGTGCACAACCAAAACGCTGCCCCTCTCGACAATCACCTGGCTCTTCTCCTGAATCAGTACACTTTCGCATTAGTTTATTCATTAATTATAAACATATTCTCATTTCATATTTATGGAAATTTAGCACTGTCACAATACTAATTTATTATTAAAATTGATTATTTTCCAGCAAACAACCTAGCTTACAATATTAAAAATCAAATTTATGATAATCAAAATTTGCCATTATTAAATCACCTGATTACGCCTCATTAAATACAATCATAATGATTATGGTATTTATTAAATAAACACCCGAAAAACGGGAAGTTTGTGGTTGGTAGGGGGTAGGCGGCTTACCCATATCATATTCCTGCCGACTTGGGAATGTAGCTAAGCAAATCTTTGCCCAGCTTCGCCGTCCCGATCAAATGGGGCATGCTAATTTGTGCAACTAGCCGTAAACTCACATAACCAGGCAGCAAACTCACATTACACACAAGTCTACGGACAGCATACGGACAACATACGGACATTCGAGGGACACAAGCTGGGATAATGGAATTTCCTGTGGCCTCCGAGTCTCAATTGTCCTGCTGTCCCGTCCAGGATTCCCTTGATTAGACATCATAATATTGAACCGAGCTTAATTGGAAATCCATGAGGGGCCAGCTCAGCTCGAAAGGGATTTAGTTTGTTGTTGGGGCGGGCGATGAAATATTTCCGAGGGAAAGCATTCAGAGTTTTCCGAGCGATTAGCCAGGCCACGAATCGGTATCGTAGACCACAGCGATTTCCTTTCCCCCGATGATTTCATTGTTGCTGGCTGGCATATTAAATTGTTTTCAAATTTGCCAGCGCATTCCGCAAAATGTGGAGAGCCGCAACGCTAATCAGAGCAGGGACAGCTGTCTCTGCACCACCCACTAAGCCACCTTCTGCACTAGTAGGAACCCCCCAGGAATCACCCACACATCCCTTCGCCCTTCACCCCCTTTTCATTGACAGCTGTCAACGCGGTGGCGCCTCTTGAAGTCCAAACAAATATTTCACTGGCAGCCATTGAATCGTGTATTGCAAGTGTGTCTGTTTGTGTTGTGTGTGAGGGCACTGAAAGGAAAATTTAAAATTCAATAAAAATTTTAGACAAATACTAGCCTTGAATAAAGGTGAATAGAAAACTATTCAAACCGTTCTATAAAGAAAAAAATTATTAAGAGATGATAAATTGTTGAATTGAAATTGTTAAATTAAAAAAAATAAGGAAATGGTTGGTTATTCAAGGTTAGACATAGACAAAGATAAAACAAATCTTTAAAAAAATGCAATGTCAAAATATTTAATTTCAAAGCATGTACTTAAAATAAAGTTTAAAACCTTCCATAAGTTATTGAAAATCTGTTATGCCCCCAACTGATTTTTAAATTTATGTACCTTCCATTTTAATGATTTAGAACTTTTTTTATTATTATAGAAAAATCTTAGTTGTCCAGCTCCATTTCAATGATTTAGACAATTTGTTTTATTATTTTAGAAAATCTCTTAGTCGTCCTGCTGATTTTTAAAATCGTTTACTTTTTATTTTAAAAATTTGCACAATTTATTAAACATTAAACATTTTTTCTTAGTGTATTTCCAAGAGTGTGTTGGTTTTTTGAAAGGCGTGACAAAACAAGACAGACATTTCAATGTCAGGCGTCTCTTGGCCTTTGACGCTCGCTTAGCTTCCATTCACTTGTTGCAGTTCCCAAGGAGATTTCACCAAGTTTTCCCTCCCTTAAAAATCAAGAAGAAAATACCGCACATCTATTCCAAATATCGAGTACATTTGGTCAGTTATTTATGCGCTTCGCTTTCATTTTACTTCGCTTCGTTTCGCCTCGTTCTTTCTTGGTTCTGTATTTTATTTATTTGTGCCTTTTGGCTGTTCAAACAATTTATAATTTTAATGCACACACTGGCCCCCGCAACACTGAGCACTGAATACTGAATACAATCGAAATATGTTTATATAATTGAAAAGCAAACGTTTTGCGTGAAAACATAAGGCGAATATGTGTGCGGGATATATGCTATAGCATTCATGCTGGGGTATATAAATAAAGCTGCCAAATTGTGTACACGGGGCGTATGATGAACGTGCCATTTATTCCGCCGAGCGATTTGTTCTCTCTCTCTTTATCTTCCTCTCTATCTATCTCCCTCTGGTGAAAATCCGCTTTATGACTGGCATATATTTCATTTAATTTATTTATCCAGATCAAATCGAAAATCGCTCCTTTCGAATCGAAATACTTTGACCTGCCGCAACGGAAATTCGGCCATAGCTTAGTGTTTTGAAGTGAAAAACCCTGGGTTTTACATTCAAGATTTTGCAGAGCGTTACAAACAAATAATTTCATTGCCTGCCATAAGCTTCCGCCAACTTTTTGGCCGGATATTCCCATTGAGAATTTATTTCAATTACATTTGAGCGCGCCGCAAAAATCTCTAACAAATAAAATTCAATTTACAAAATGTTTTGCGTAGTTTTCTGCGTGCCGACCCAAGAAAATGAAAAGGAGTGGGGTTGATCAACATTGTTGTCTGTTGGCGATTGGATGAGGAAATTTTGCAGATTTTCCCGAGCACTTGTAAGGGCTTTTCCAAAGCCCCAAACCCAATCCCAAATGCAAATGAAAGCAGGGCAATTAACTGGAAATTGGCTGAATTCAAGGGATCAGTCTGATTAAACAGAAGTAGTCACCTCGGGTTATTAGCATTTCCCTACAAATTAATGCACATTAATACGCACAGAACTTACAAACGCAATTTGCAAATTAGTTCAGCTGAACAAACGTTTGCCTAACCCAATTCAACAATAAATTAACAACACAGCTCGACGACTGCAAACTGACATTTGCTTGTTTACACAGAATCATCTTGCGGCTTCTTCTATTTTCCACTTGCAAATAAATAATCCCCCATAAATTTGTATTTCCATTTGGATGACTGACCCCTAAATCCGGCCTATAATTCCATCTGCCGAAAATTGACATTCGGCCATGCTCTCAATTGGCTTTGTTTTTCATCGTTGGTGCAGTGCAGAAAATCTATTTATTCGATTTCGCCCTTTGGCTACTTTGTAAAATCATTGCAAAAATAGTCGGATATTTTTAATTGATTAGAAAGCGATTAAAAATAATTATAGCTAAAATCCGACCTCAATAGAAGAATTACTTAAATTTAGTTGAATAATATAAATAATTCAACTAAAGTTTAAAATTTATATTATCCATTATTATTTAAATTATTAATTTAGTAAAATTATTTAAAATTGTATTTAACTGTTAAAAAATTGCAATATTTATTTAAAGAATTATAAATTTTACCAAGAATTTTCTTAGAAATTAAAATGTAATTAAATGCTTAGGCTTGCAGCGCACTTCGCAATGCGAAACCCGCTGTTCGCATAATTTATTCAGCTATCGTATTTCTTTATTTCCATTATATCCTATATTTTTTCGCGAGCTGCAAATTAACGAATGTAATTATTGCAGTCTGGCTGCAATTTGCGGTTAATGTGCCCATTAATATTCAAACGAAAGCGGCTTTAATTGCGACCAAGTGGCCATAAGTCCGAATTAAGAGGCCTCCTGAAAAATCGGCCACTTGGCCCTGACAATGGCTGCCATTTCCGTTCGTCGGTTGTCGGTCGTGGGAAAAATAATAATATACCGAGAAAAAAAAGAATGTGAAAAGCACGCGAAAATGCCAGGAATTTGTCAACGGGCGAGAAATCGAAAGTTAAACCCGCACACACCGATAAATATACCGATTTATATACTGAGAGCAATAATATAGAAACAGCAAATACTCGACGTCAATTGGCACTTTGATTGCATTTCGATGCAGTTTCCGACTTGAATTTGCATTTGCCATCGCATTCAGTTAGTTGCATCGCAAAAGCCCCAAAACAAAGCAGCGCGCATCGCGTACCAATCGAACCGAAACTATTGATTTATATACCCAGATATCGAGAGCTAGCTGGAATGGATTGAAATGGATTGACCATTGGTCCAGTCAGTCAGTCAGTTGGCCAAATAAATAGATTAGTTTCGGATTTTGTGACGCGCGATCTTCTTGTTTACCACAGTGTGAGTGTTTGTGTGCCAGTGAGATCAAAAAAATATATAAAGTAAAATACCATCCACGCAAAACTAGGAAATTTCAATTGGAATTTTCTGCGCAATAGCCAAGATTGCCCCATTCAAGTTAATTTCGATTTTGGCAAAAGCGGATTAGACCCCCCGGTTTCCCCGACTCTCTACCCCGGGAATCAATAGAAAAGCTAGGAAAATCCAGGAAAACCAGGAAGCCAAACGGTCATCATGGCCATCACAGACGATGCGGTAAGTCGCTCAACAGAGGGTTCAGAAATAGAAAACCGGACTCAAGAGGTTCATTCATTGTTCTCAGGGATTATTCTGAGTTTAAGAATAATCCAAACAGTTTTCATGAGAAATTATTGGCAC